GAGGAGGCGCTGCGGGAGCAGTACCTGGCCAGTCTGCCGCCACTCGACCCGGCCCTTGATCTCACCACGGCGCAGACAGTGACCACGGCAACCGGCGGCGCAGAGGAGGAGAACTTTGAGGACATTGCGGAGCACGGCATTGTCGGCGTGGCCGGCGATGACATGTTTGCGCGCAAGGTGATCACCATCTACGCCTGTCGGCTGCCGGCCAGCAAGACCTTTGACTATGCCAAGTTTCTCAGGTAGGCCTCGCTCTCTCTTCAATTTCTTTGCTTTTAGTTTGCCTGAGGAGACTGTTTGTTTGTTCAATCGGTGGTGACACTATCTTCTACTTTCCCAAAGTGGATAATGACGCTTGCCAGTGCTGCTGCTGATGGCACCGTTTCTACGCTCTAGTGAGCAGCAGCAGCAGCAGTAGTAGTCTCTTTACTTGCTTATTTTGTCACCTGGTCAGCAGAGGCAGTTGCTTTCGATTGTATCTTTTGCTATCCTATCGACTGACTTGCCTAATTCTAATTTGCCTAATTATGTTTCTATTTATAAACCTGTCCTCTTCTCACTCCTCACAGATACCTCCTGAGGACGCTTGACCTTTATGTGGAGAACGACTATGCGCTGGTGTACTTTCACCAGGGACTGTGCAGTGAGAACAAGCCCTCGCTCGGGTGGCTGTGGACGGCCTACCGCTCCTTTGATCGGAAGTACAAGAAGAACCTCAAGGAGCTCTTTATCGTCCACCCGACCAGCTTTATAAAGATTGTCCTGCAGCTCTTTCGACCGCTGATTAGCACCAAGTTTGGCCGGAAGATTCACTACATTACCGAGCTGGAGCAGCTCAGGGCGCATCTGCACCTGGAGCGGATTCACATTCCGCCGTCGGTTTTTGAGTAAGTCTGATTTTGGTGTTTTGTTGTCAACTGATCTAATGTTGTGGTATTTTGCACAGGCACGACAAGAAGCAACTTCGACCGAAACTGACCACCTGGTTCATCTCTTCTAATGTCGGCAACTCTTCAGTGGCATCATCATCGGCCAACTCTCAGGGCACTTTGAGTCGGTCGGCTTCCTTTTACCCGAGCACTCAGCAGTTTCGAGTGTCGCTTGACTTGTAAGTACTTGGTCTGTGGAAAGTGGATTCTGGATTCTAACTGCTTGTAATGTTTTCCAGTCTGGTGGAGCAAAACTCGGGCGATCCAATTCCGCCTATTGTTCGGCAGTGTGTGGACTACCTGCAGGGATCGGACTGTTGTCTGGACACGGAGGGCATCTTTCGGCGGTCGGCAGTAGTTCGCCTGGTGAAGGACGTTCAGTCGAAGGCCAACCAGGGGGTGAAGGTGGACTTTGCAGCCATGGAGGAGACGGAAGGGGCTGATGCTACAGTCCATGTGGCTGCTGTCATTCTCAAGTCATTTCTACGGGAGTTGGCGGAGCCGCTGCTCACCTTTGACCTGTACGATGAGGTGATCAACTTTCAGCAAGTTTCGGGTGGTCCTTCAGCTGCTCAGCGACAGGAGAAGATTAATGTTGCGAGGACACTGGTCACTGGACGTCTGCCCGAAGCTAACTATCAACTGCTGAAGTATATTGTGACTTTTCTGGTACGCGTTATGGACCACTCGGAGTTTAACAAGATGAACGCTTCTAATTTGGCTATTTTGTTTGGACCAAACCTGCTGTGGTCAAGAAGAGTCAACGAGCAACAGGCTTTTAGCTCACTGGACGCTATTACGGCGATCAATCATTTTACCGAGTATATTCTTCGCAACTATGATCAGATTTTTGACCGTTGATTACTGTTTGTTATTAGGACATGTTAAATTATTGTTTGTACTTTTACTGCGTTGTAATTGGATTATCGGTAGTAGACGCATGCAAATTTTTAATGCGCG